CCGCCTATTCATTACAGAATAGTAAGAACCAGTCCAAGTTTCCAAGGCTTGGGCTTTTCTGTAACGAATAGGCGGTTGTAAAACATATCTATTGGTATCAAACAAGTCGAGTTTAAAAAATCGAAAGAAATTCGTCGTATTCATTGAAAAAGTCGATCTTTCTCTCATCTTTCTGCCTGAAACAAGAACTTGAAAATGAAGTGTGTACAGTTCGAAACATTGACTGTATTATAAATAATGAAGAATACATTTATAGCTGCTTTAAATCTTTGCAACTAGAACAGCCATTTATTCCAGAAATTCCCATTTATGCTAGAAATTTCCTCCGAGGAGACATTTTTTCTTTGCACGATAGGGAGCCATTTATTCGGAGAAAAGTGTGGGTAAGCCATTTATTCTAGAGACGGCGCAACTTATTAATCTAGTAATAAGCTGTAACTGCTGATGCTAGTTATACGTACCATAGTGAACAAGTATCAAGGTTTATGGATTGTTTGGAATTGAATCGTAATATTCGTCAGAATTATATTATTCAAAGTATAAAGGTATTTCTTGCGTTACATGCACTAAGTGGATCTGACTATACATCACATATTAGAAATGTTACAAAATCAACACTTTTTACAACATATTGTCAAAATCCAACACTATATATAGAAGATCTAAGTATATTACCAGCCACAGCCATTGTATGACAAGACTGTAAAAAGTTACTATTGAGTGTTTTAAAGTCACCATATAGCAAATTAGACGAACATCGATGCCATACGAAGAGAAAATCTCCATGAAAATTTGATGACATTAATAATTTGAAAATTTTACCACCAACAACAAACGCAAATCAAATAGTAAATACAGTAGGAAGTTTAGCTAGTACCCTGAAAGCAGCAAAAAAGAAAAAACTTGTTACATGCAAATCAGAATTACTATTGCCAGGTGTGAGTGATAAAGAAATAATAACATTAGTAAAACAAGATTAATCAACAATTATATAGTTCACTATATGTAAACGATATATAAATTACATAGTAGTTAGGTAAACATATTTATTATATGTAATATTAATTTTTCGTTTGAGATGTTCTGAAATGTTCGTCTATATATTTATCTGTATCAACGAAATAAAAAGGTGAAGGATGAGGAATGACCAAAAAGGTAAAGAAAAGTCATATATGTATAGTTTTTTTTGTTGTTTTTCGTAACTAAACATATAAAACGCAGAGAAAAATAATCAACAACTGTGCACGGCGTAAATGCCGATAGAAACAGAAAAACAAAACGCAGTATATCTGACCAGTTGACTAGACATAGAATGGAAGTGAAATGTTCATAACTACTATTTTATCGAGAGAAATACGTGTTTTGTCAAAGTTCAGCGACGACGGGGTTTCGTTTGAATGCGTGGATAATGATCATCGGTGAACATATTTGGATGTAACATGTCTTCGATCCATTGTTTTGTTTGTTCATCTTTTAATCCAATGAATAATACATGTCCAACGATGTTGAAATTAACCCAGTGGATGTTCATATCGATGAGGATTCGTTTGCCAGTGGTAATGAATGTCTTCGTAAAGATGTCGAATTACTTCGAAATTATATCGCTTGGCTCGACGTTTGCGATTCCTCCGCTGCTTTTTTGTCAATGCTGGTCGATGGGATGGTGGTTCAATGGGTGTTGTACGAGTGGTTGATGTTGAGGATGGACGATTCGATGATGGTTCAATGTGTATAGTGCGAGTTGTTGTTGATGATGTATGATGTGATGATGAGTGAGATGATGATTCAATTGGTAGCCCACGAGTCGTTGGTGATGATGATTGTCGCTGCAGTGGTGAATGGAAAAACAAAGGTGTCAATGGTTCATCAGCGTGTATGAATAACTCACCTGTAAACAATTGGTGTGCCAATGGAATCCGTGGAAGCGGTTGTTGTTGTTCATTATCAGCGGATATATCTTCCATTGCCAACGGTAGTTCATCTCGTACATGAACCACCGTTAACTCATAATCGGACACTTGCTTATATTCTAATGGTTGTGGTGTTATGGAGCTTTGTCTAATGGCATTATTCGATGGATCAATTTGGTGACTGCAAAACAGTCATTTATTGCATATTCTTGTAATAATGATCCAATTCGTTTTTCTTCCTGGATACATAATGTACGTTGTTAACCGACGAATTGTTTTGGAATAAATGTGTCCAAATTGAGATCGCTACCACATACCCATTCAGCCAGTGTTATTTGTTTGTTCAAATATTCATTGAAGACAGTTTTAATCGCAAATTGTAAGGAATATTTGTCATTGGAATTACGTGAGCCATACCAATCTGTAAATTTGTCTTGGACGTTGTGTGGGATGAATCAAATGTTGTTGTTGAATAAATGAAAGGTAGAAAATGGACGTAATTCAGCCTCCGGATCTCCCCACGCGTATATATGATTATTCGATGAAAAAATGATCGAACACGATTGTTGTATTTTAATGAACAAAGGAGATGTTTTGTGCGGTAAATGGAGAGCTTCGAGTATGACGACGATAGATGAACAAGTGGGTCGAATAAAGTCGATCTGTAAAATCGCCGGAGCGTGTGTTAATATGTCATTTTCGGTGTCGATGGTAAAGTGTGTTGTCGTTTATGCTACATCGATTAATTTGTTGATGGTGTGAATATTGGTACTACGATGAATGAAATGACATGTAAATCCAACCGGTTGACGAAATGGTGTTAAGTCGCCCCAGTCACATTGTTGTGCCGAATCCTGCGAGGAAATTCATCTATAAGGGGTCGGTGTCGATGGATCGCGGTTATTAATAATAAGAAGGATAATAGCAATGATAGCCGTCAAATATTCATTGAATTGCGCCCTACTCCGTGCCTATGGTGCTTCCGTTATCTCACTGCAGTTCAATAATTCTCCATCTGGTGAATCTCATCCGGTTAGGTCGACTCGTCATGTCTCCAGTCAGCATATACCACTAAATCCCGCGGCCGGGTTGGGTTGGGTCCTCATGTGTGCCTCACTAGCAATCAATAGTTCTATATGTGTGGACCGGGTTAGGCTGAGTCGTCATGTCTGTAGCCAAAGTATATCACTCAATCTCCCGGTCCGGTCAGGTTGGGTCCTCATGTGTGTGTCGCTAGCAATGAATAGTTCTATATATATGGACCGGGTTAGATGGAGTCGTCATGTCTGTAGCCAAAGTGTATCACTAAATCTCGCGGTCGGGTTAGGTTTGGCCGTCATGTGTGTCTCCCACTTTCTTTCTGGTGATCAACACTTCGGCATTTGTGGTGAGATTAGACTGAGTCGTCATGTCTGTACTGAACATATATTTCATTTCACTTCTGGGTTGCCTCGTGCTGACTTGTCATGTGTGTTTTGCAGTGTCTCACTACTAAACCGATATTAAAAAGCGCTGATCCGATGATTGCCATCATGAGCAAATGTAGTGCGACGTATCTTGTAAGCGACTAATATAGTAATGGTGGTAGATCACCAACCGAGATATCCAAAAATAAGCTATTGAAAGCAGATCCGCACTTCCCACTACAGTTTTCATTTGATCATCTAATTTTAAGGATGACGAAGTTATCATCGATTCAACATCGTTGTCCGAACAACCAACATTTATTGATATTCATTCTATGCGACAATTTGTACATGAAAACGATAAACAAGATGTTTTCTGTGTTCTGAGCATCCATTTATTGACCGTGATCCAAACTTGGCTCGATTGGATGTTCGGATATTTAACTGGGATAACTGCATCGAACTGTTTAAGACGGATAAATTTAATCAATCTCATTCGGTAAAACAGAGTAAATGAATGATTCAATATTTTCATTCAAAATTCTCAAAACTTGAAACAACTGCTGAGGTGAAATAAGTATTGAATAAAAATTCTTGGTTTGATGGATCAAAATAATCGTTTACAATTAATGAAAGACATCTATTTTTCGGCTGAAAAAGTTGATAGTAGCTTGTAGGATGCGCTGGTTGTAATGAATCGTTCGTGACAGACATATTCGATTAGTTAACGATACAGAAAAACCAAAATAAAACAATGGCTGCAAAAAAGGTGTTACAGAGCGAACGGATTTGACATTTTTGCTCAAAACAATTATTCCGAATGTGGCTATGTACATTACACCAGCAAAGCTATTTAAATAATCCGAATGTTGTTTATGTTGTTTCAAAAAGGCAGTATTAGCAGCAAGGGATTGATTTAGTTGAAGCAATTAATTAGTTCACTTTATGCAAATAAATATGAGAAGTGAGTGAGTAGAACCTCACAATTGGTGCACTAGCCTGCCGGTCGTCTTTTCCATCACGATGCGGTGCGGTTCGGGTGATGAAAGATTTATTTGGCTCAGAAGTTTGTTCTAGTCTTCTGATCATCGTCGATCGTCGATCAGGCAAATCACAAGACAATGAAAAAAGAAACGGCACAATGGCGTGCTGCGTCGTATGTTTACTCAAGGGATGGTAACTCTCCTCTTCGAGCAATTTGATGATTGACCTTTGGTGGTGGCAACCAAGAGGCTTCAAATGAATGACTTTGCCTCGACCAACTACACCGTCAACATTTAGGCAAGTCAAAGCAACTTCGAGGGTGGCAACTCTAAGGCCAAACGAGCACTTGGCCTCGACGATCAAGCAGATTCGGCGACAAGGGCAAGTCCTGCGTTCGGTGGCAAGTAGGGCTGTGTTAACATTCGCACAACTCCAACGGAACGGTGGTGCGACCTCGAGTAGTGGCAGCTTGAGGCTCGAAATGGGAACTTTATATAATATTTCGGCGACAAGGGCATTCCCAGTCCACGCGTTCGACAAGACGGGTGGCCAAGACAGGCTTCGATGTCCAAGGATAAGAAGCTGACCATGTGTATATGTACTCTTTCCGTTTGTTTTCATGTTTGTGTTATCTTCTCTTGTTCGTGTTTTTTTCTCTGGTATTAACTTCTTTGCCCTAGTCATTGTACTAATGATTTTTTTGATGCGCGGGGCGCGCATCTTTGTTTGGTCGAGGAAGTGTTACGATCTGCCATTCCTGGCAGCTCATAAGACTATGTTCTCTTCTTCTTTTCCTTTCTTTCTGTCCTTGTTTCATCCTTTCTTTTCTGTTTTGCAGTTGTTTTCCAAATTCTTTCTGTTCTTGCGCAATACTTGTGTCATCCTCTAGTTTTCCCAACTCTTTCTGTTCTTGCGCAACTTCTGCGCAAACTCTTGCATAGCTGTTGTTCAACTTGTGTACTTTGTATAGCCGTTCACTTTATGCAAATAAATATGAGAAGTGAGTGAGTAGGACCTCACAGGTTTTCAGAGGATCTGCGGAAAACTAGTCGAAGCTCCGAGAACTGACATGGAAGTATGTTGATTTTTTTCGATGCGTTAATAGTACGAACTGTCCCCTACAAAACTGAATCTAAGCAACATTTTGAAAATCTATGGTTCCTTCTGCGTACAAGTTTTGGCTATCGAATACTGAAAATCGCCGGTCTCTAGCTCATTCCTGTCAACAGTTATTCAAAAACTAACCGGCTGCCTTGTATTTTGGCGCCGATAGTAGTATATTTTACGTTATAAGGGCGACAAATTCAAAGTACGCAAAGGGTCTCTTTTTCGAAAAATTGGTAGTTTTCCGAAAAAAATTCAATATCTCCGTCTCAGAGCAGTTTGTAACCTCAATAAGGTGTTTTTCAGATTCGATGTTAAAAATTGATTTTGGGCAACTGCATTTCGAAGTTTCCACTTTAAAGCGGGATTGTAGGCAAGAAATCCAACTTAGAGCGCTAAAAGTGAAAGAGGGTCAGTTTGTAAACCTATCTGGATTTTGTGTTAAGAGATGGAATGCTTATTCATCTGCCATTCGAACCATCATGAACCGGGCAACAAAAGTACGTTCTCCTTTTCTCGATAACCCTTTTCATTCCAGAGATATTCGATTTTATTGAAAATTGGAGAACTTTACTCAAAATCGGGCATCTGATTTACGAATAAAACGGACAGTTTTTGGTCCTAAAAGGCTGAAAATTTAGTTGTATAGGAGAAAATATGAGACACACGGTGGTAGCATTTTCATACGTTCTAGAGATCCTCTAGTGGGATTTGTACAAAACCGGACTTTCAGAAAACCTGCCTAAAACCAAGTTTGTCGATTTCGACTTTTGCAATTAGTCTTGTTCGAAAGACAATTAAATTCTGATCAAAAGTAGACTATTTTTAATGCTTTCCAGCCTTTCAGTCTTAAGAAATGACAAAAAATGTGGTTTATGGGGGATTTTTAAAATCTGATTTCTCATGTTTTTGTGAGTTGCGATGGCTGGAAGGCCAGAAAGCGCTCAAAATAGTTTTATTTTGATTCGAATTGCAATTAGTCTAGATCGATAGACAGTTAAATTTGAATCAAAATAAAACTATTTTGAGCGCTTTCTGGCC